CTGTGTTCTCTCTCATCTACATTTTCCTGTTCAGACAAGTACTTTTTTCCTACATAGAATGTGTGTTGCTGTGAAACATGTATTTAGGTTTATCCCTTTTGTTCTGTCTTGCTTTGATACTTCTTGTGCTGTCAAATAGAAGCTGGTTATGGTTTGTTTTCTGTTCAGTTTGCCACAGATTGCATGGTTATTTACCCAACATAGGATCAGTGTAAAGATTGTAGTTCGAGTGAGCGATGAACAGATTAATATCGAAATAATTTGAATTGGGTTTTGTTCTTTAAGATTTCTAATGAACAATAAAAATGATCACTTGTAAATAAGCACTTCAAGGATTTTTCAGGAATCCTTGTGAACTTAGTGGCTAAAGAAATGGATATCTAGCTGTGAGTCAAAGGTGCAGTTCCTATCATAGGTGGCTTCCTATTGTAGGGCAACTCATCCCAACTTAGACTAGGTCTTGAATTTGCCATGCCTTGCAGATGGAAGGCCTGGAATTTTGTAAATCCAGGAAAGGCTAGGAACACTTAACTCGGTTCTCCTTCGAGCCTCCTATCCCCTCACCATAACCTACTTTGCTTTCAGAGGTAACAGTCTGGTTGCTAGAGGTAAAAGGGTACAAGCTTGTTTCAGTGACTAACTGAAGTGATGGAAACTGCGTTGTATTGTCTATGTGAAATTAAAACATGGGACTGAGCTTGAAAAAAGATGGTGAGATTTCATTTGGGTAGGAATACGTAACTTTAGTTATACTGTTTCTTTTCTGCAGTTAAATGCCTCAAGAACACACCAGCTTTCTTTGCTGAGAGGCTGAGGAATGCTATGAAGGTAAGTGCCTATGTCAAGGTGCATAAACGTAGCATATGTTTTTAAATGATTTTACTGTTCATTGGAGTGAATATTTCAACCACCTTGTACAGATTTAATGGTACTAATTAAAAAAATAACTAATCAGCTGGAAGTATGAATTTTTTCCATGAACACAAGACTTAAGATTTAGTATGATGGAAGGCTGGAAAAACCTACCTTACTTGATCCACTTAGCAAAGTGTATATAACTATGCCACTGATTTCTTGTTTTATTATGGAGACTTCTTTCCTTAATAAAAAAACTTATATGTGTAGGACTTGTTGATAGGGTTTAAGTATGGAGGGTTAGCTGAAGTGCACTACCAGTACATTTAATTTATTAATGTGCATATGCTACATTCCTACTAAGCTTAGTGAAAGCAGTGAGGTTTTGCTAGTAAATGCTGGCATTTGGTGAGGTGATGATCTCTTGATTCATGCTGTATCATCCACAGTTTCCACACACGATTCATGTATGCCATTGTTTATTTCAGGGAGCAGGAACAAAGGACAGAACTCTGATTCGAATCATGGTGTCACGCAGTGAGGTTGACCTTCTGGACATACGTGCAGAATACAAGCGGATGTACGGCAAATCCCTCTATTCGGATATCACTGTAAGTCTTAGAGCACTAGTTTGCCCAATTCATTTGCCTGAGGATGCCTGTGGGGACTTAGGAAGCTTCATTCACCATGTAATAAAGGTGCCAAATCTGTTAAGTTCCTGTGCATTCTTCCGGTTTTTCACATGGAGATGCAGCTTAGTGGCGCTCACAAGGAAACCCAGAAAGATAGCGGGGGATACTTTGTGCACCAGCAGATCTTGGCTATTCTGTCAGCAGCTATATTGTCTTTTTGGCCATAAGTAACGAAGGTTCAACTAGCAGAAGCTTTTTACAAATCAATAACTCTTAGATGAATATGGCACTTCTCACAGTATTACATGAAATTTTACACATCAGGAATAGGAACAGATAATTCCCATTTACTTGGCAGAACTTCATCATTTCACTAAGTGTGGCCATAGGTGTAAACCATGCCTCTTCTGTAGAGGCAGTAAAAGGAAGTAGAGTTGAAAAAAGCTTTAAAGTAACTCCTTAATTCTTCTGTCATTGTCCATAAGCGCACAGCAGTTGCTTCAGCACATGAATAAAGTAAAATGCTTTATATTTTGCGGATTGTACTTTGTGTAGGGTTTATTCTGATTCTTGAAGCATCTCTTTGTCACTAGAGATTTTTATCCAGAAAATGGTTTTCAGGGATAATACACTAACTGAAACTACCTTTTGAAAAGGGTTGACAAACCTCATCAACCAAGTCCAGTTAATGAGCAGCTCCCAGGGAATGCTTTTTAGTCATAAAAGCATCAGGTGACATTTATCTAGCAGAGCTAGCTGAATGGTGATCATATCATCATGGAATGGCATGGGTTGAAAAGGACCACAATGATCATCCAGTTCCAACCCCCTGCTATGTGCAGGGTCGCCAACCAGCAGACTGGGCTGCCCAGAGCCACATCCAGCCTGGCCTTGAACGCCTCCAGGGATGGGGCATCCACAACCTCCTTGGGCAACCTGTTCCAGTGCCTCACCATCCTCTGTGTGGAAAAACTTCCTCCCAGTATCTCATCTAAACCTCCCCTGTCTCAGTTTAAAGCCATTCCCCCTTGTTCTATCACTATCCACACTTCCACCCTTGTAAACAGCTATTTGTCCTCCTGTTTGCTGCTGTTCATGAAATCTTTTCCACACTTTTGCATGTACATTCATTGTGGTTTTTGCTGCCCTCGAATCAAACAGATACTATGTGACTGAGGTGTGAGATTGATTTCTTAATGCCAGGGCATCACTTTGAACATTCAAATATAACAAAGAGTAAACTTTCCCTTGCTGCTCCTTGGAAAAAAATCCATGCTGAGTCCAGGGAAAAGGAATTCAGCAATCTGTATTGCTGTTTCTGTAGTTTCTTTCTTTTGTTGGCTGAAAGACAACTTTTCACTGAAGGTTTTTGCTGAACTTTTCCAGAATGTGCAATTGACCCTGTATACCAAATTCAATTACCTAAAGAAATATATTCCCTTATGGATGTTTTCCATTCCATAAAGGAAAGAGCAGATTTTGCTGTTGCATTGTTGTTTTCAATAAGAAGTGAACACCTGCTTTCTTTCAGCCCTGTCTTCCTTTCCTTTAGTTAGTAGCTTGGCATTTAAGACAACTTTCTTTCTTCCTTCCCCTTCCAACTCCCACGTCCCCAAAAAAGTAGGATGCAAGCTTTCAACTCTTCTTTTTCTGGGTTTATTTCCAGGGTGATACTTCAGGAGACTACCGGAAAATCCTACTCAAGTTGTGTGGAGGAAATGACTAAAAGGAACATTGGGCTTTCATTTAACAAAAAAACAGAGAGGAGAAAAGAAGAAAATGCAGCTACTATTTTCATGGTTTTGCTTTAAAGCATCTTTTTCTCCAAAAGTAAATATGTTATAAGCTGTCTCTCTTAAAGTGAATTGCTAGATGAAAAAAGCACAGAAATCAAGCTTATGTACCATCTGCTTAGGATTCTTTGTTACCTTCTACAGTCCAAGAACGAGAGTTTATTTTTCAGCTTACTTTAATCATCGGAAATAACATGATTGTTTTCTGGAGTGAAAAATTGTAGTTGTATGGTTTAAGGCTTTATTTTGTACAAATATCACGTGCCACTTTATTGCTGGTTTTATATCTATTGTAAGCAGATGTGGTTTCATACTTACACCTCGCATTTTTGTGTCCAACTGAGACTGTTTTAAAGAAGTTTTGTTGAGTTCTGCTTTCTTTACTTGGCTGCACGTTTCTAAGTTGTGTTCCACATTGCTTTTTCATCAGGGCAGCTGTCACAAGGCTATAATAATGTTGATATGAGTAAAAGTTCTTCAGTTAACGTCTTTCAGGTTTTAGATTGTGCCTTAAATATCTAAATATATCTAGGAAAAGATTATAACATTAAAGCTGCCTATCTTCTAACTCTTAGAAAACTCTGCTTTTTGTTGTTCATGTTGATGTCATCTTTGCTGTTCTCAAAATGAAAATGTAGAAATGTTCAAAAAAAGCACCCAAAAAACATCTAAGTTGAAGAAGCATAGAGATAGGTCAGTTAAAAAGGATTGCTTATTAATCAAGAATGTGCAAATTTCTCTGCTGCACACACACCTTTCTGCAAAGGCCAGGTAGGTCTTTTTTTACCTAGAAGTTGTGTTGTTCTATGTTTGTCATACTGAAACTCAGATGTTTTGAATGTAAGTTTAAAACCATTATCAGATTTGGAAAAAATGGAACAGTATCATTAATTAGTGGGGAAAAATGCTTATGTGGGATAAACAGGTAAATAGATAGGGACTTAAAAACATTTATCTTCTTTTAAAGTATATGCTTTTTATTTTTGAAACCTTACAGTTTCCCCATCTGTATTCCTTTGCATGTTTTAATGATGCTGTTGTCTTAAAGGTATTTCTTTTTCCTCCTCCATGAAACCAGAAAATAGATTTTTGGAATTAACTTCAAGTTGTGTTGTCATCACAGCCAGGCAGGCTGAAGAGTGTAAACCTAGTGGAAAAATCTAGCAGGCCGTGCAACCTATCTACAAGTTTTGACATGGATATGGAGCAGGGGTTCTTACTTCAGTCGGTGACAGCAATGTGACCAAAGCTAGACTACACCATACGTCTGTTTTTGTCAGACAATCTAATTATCTCAAGAGGAAATTGCAGCTGAAAGTGTGTCTTCCACAATTTGCACTCATAGTGAGGACTAAGTTCATTGCCAGGAAAGGAAGGTTTTTTTGAATTATGAGAGGTTTCTTAGCTGTTGTTGGTCCAGCACCCTGTCTGATCTTATTTTCTTACTTAGAATGCTGTACTTGAAATGCACTTTTGATTAAGTATGGCCACTGAAAGATGTAAAATACAGACCTTTGAAATGATATCTAAAAGCCAGTAACTTTTTATTGAAAAGCAAAAGAACACAAAATGAGAAGTACTTTCAGGAGTGTACATCTCTGCTCAAGTTCTGGAAACACCAGGGAGCTTTTTAAATGAACAAATTTGCAACTGTTCATAACAGCCGTCCTGTTACATTCCGCTGTCTTCAGTCTCCGCTGTGCTCAGCTGGCATCTGTATAAAGAAGGTGTGATGTAGTTATTCTTGGTTATGAGGTCAGGATCAATTTTTCTGGATAAGCGTGATTTAAAACTTGATAACTGTTACTTCACAAAGAGGAGAATTCTGTATTTGATTCATCAAAGCACAGAAGGAAGGTGCTAGAGTTCTGCAATTCTTGAAGTAGGTGGTAGTCAATGCAACCTAAATTTGAGCAGTACTTACTGTAGTTGTGTTGCAAATAGACAGTGGTTAACTTGGGATTTCCATTTTCAATTTACTGTAACTCTTCACTGGGATACTTTCTTAAATGATCATTGCAGGAATGTAGGTTAATTAACACCTGTTAACTGCCCCTTACAGAGTCATGGACATCGATTTAAATGTTAGTTTCTCGAGCAGTTATGGTGACTGTTTCTGTACAGCCAACTGCAAGAAGAACTAAAACATACGTTGTACTGCTGTCTACTTTCAGCCCGCATCATATCACTGAAGTGCACTACAGTGTGTGAGTATATGTACATACAGCAGTAACAAAAAATGACAAAACTGACTCCATAACAGTGGCTGGGTGTTGCTCATGCCTTTCTACAAGAGGTATACTCTCTACCAGCAGTGTCTCTTTTAAATGAACTACTGATAGGCAGAGACTCAAGAGAACAGAGTGCTGTCTAGCATTGCATTGCTGGGGAAACTACAGACATATCATTGCAGAGGTTCATTGTTCTTGGATCTAAGTTATGTATTGTCTTTTACTTGAGTCTGTTTTGCTGCATTAGTTCTTGTTTTATCCACTTTTGCAGTGGTGAGGAAGTGGAGCTTTTGACTTTGCAGCAGCCTTACTCAGATGGGCCATTTCAAACTCAATTGGACTATGTTAATATCCCCAGTTGATCAGCCTTTCTGTGTATCTCCTATATCTAGCTCCATGCCTGGTTTGTTCACTTAACTTTGTCCCCCTCTCTTTAGTGCTGGCTGTGACACTGTCCGAAACCGAATCCTGTGTTTGAACTGAAGCCTTCACTGCACTGAATTGAGTGAATGAGTTATTTCTCATCTAATGTGGAAAAAGAGGATGGCATTTGGAATAGCACATGCAACGTTCTTGTTGGCTTAGCTTATAGCCCACTAGATACTTACCATCAAAAAGGTCTATCAGTGGGGTTCCTGCAGCAATGGGGAGGTCTGATGTTGTCTCACTGATGATACTGAGGAGTGATTTGACTTCTGATTCTAGATGCTCCACAGTTTTTATTACCTTCTAATGGAGGAAAAAAGGGATAACAAATGTAGAGGGGGGCAGTCGGAGTCAAATGGAAGGAATTGTGTACCAAATGTCTTAGTTCAAGAGGCGTCTTGCTGTCCCATGCTACTAACAGCTGATTTTGTTGTTCATTGCAATTTAATGTGTTTTTCCAGTTATACTGGCCTCTAGTGGCAAAAGTATTAGAATTTTGTTTGGCAAGACTTAAAATACAGCATTTATATTACAGCATTTTCTTTAGCCAAGAGGTTTAGTGTATTCATGGAACCAATGCTGCAGCTCTTACCTCTTCAATAATGTCTAAGCGTTCATGCATTGTATCATGTTCGTGGCACCAGCTTCCCAAACTTCCAGGTAACAGACTGGTAGGATCTGCAGCAGCTGGAAAAAGCAGCCACAGTTAAATTAGCAGGAGCTTTCTGGTAATAACATTTACCTTTCTGACTTCTGGAATTGTATTTGGCGTGCTCAAGAGTGTTCTTTATTAAACAGAGCATTTCTTGTCCTAGGTGGAAATAACTCGGTTAAGTACAGATATACCCAACTGTTGTGAATGTTTCCTGGTGGCGTACACATTGTCCAAGTTGTTTGGAACAAGCTGTTTTCTTCTGATTGGCTATTTATTTGTGTTTATTTCATGAAGCCTGTTTTTTCTGTGTAGGGCAACCTTATTGTATACTCCAGCTCACATCTGTCTCTAGAAGTATAAAACCTAAGTGTTGGAAAGGTCTGCCTTAATAGAATCTTATCATAGAATGGCCTGGGTTGAAAAAGGCCACAACAACCATCTGGTTCCAACCCCCTGCTATGTGCAGGGTTGCCAACCAGCAGACCAGGCTGCTCAGAGCCACAGCCACATCCAGCCTGGCCTTGAATGCCTCCAGGGATCGGGCATCTACAACCTCCTTGGGCAACCTTTATCAGTTCATCTTGGACTCTCATCAGAAGCAACTAGCATGGTAAAGCTTTGAAGAGCAGCTGAGTTTGTCTACTTACACTCTGAATGGATGCAAGCTGATAATTCCATTGTGCCACTAACTTGTGCATAAACATCTAATTTTGCAATGGGAAGAGAAATAGGGAAAATGTGCACAGCCAGTGCCTTTGTTGGCCAAGTTACTCATGATAGTATTATATACAAAATCACTCATCTCTGTTAGTTACCTACGGTTACCTCTCAGTACACGAGTTCTCTGGCCATCTCATTCTTCTGGCTGTACCCCGTGTAAGAGCAGTGTCTGCTGTTATCTGGTGCTTGAGTGGAGCCAATTTTCCATGACTTTTGCACAGTAACTTTTGGGTTTTAATGTGTGTATGTAGAGCAGTAACAGTACTTAAAAACTGCTAAATTGATAGACTTAACTTCAAATAAGAATAAGCATATCTGATATATTTAAGACCTTCAGAGGCTGTAATAATGAGAGAGCAGCACTAATTTGTTGTGTTACTGTTTGGTTGTGATGGAGAAAACCAGAGCATGATGTGAGCTTGTGTTATAATGTGTGCTTGAAGGCGTAGGAGGAGCAACCATGGCTGTTTCCAATAGAGTTGTGTGAGAGCAGTGATTTGAACCTGGTGCAGTGCTTCGTGTCAAGTCTGTGCCATGAATTTTGGTGTTACGTGGTATAAACTTGTTAGGATTGTAGCAGTTCAATAGTATCAGAAATGTGCTGTGAGCTGGAATGGAATCCTTGAGGCAGGAAGGTGGAGAGGAATAAAACGTGACCTAATGTACTAGATGTGGTATTATTTAAAAATTGCTTTAGCGCAGTTTTAGACAGTATGTTTGAATGCGTTTGAGTTGTAGGCTTTGCTGGGGCTTGGGTTCTTGTACGTTCACCACGAGGTGGTGCTGTGAGGACGGGATCCTAAAGATTTATTCTGCCCGTTTGGTACTTAGCAAGACTGGAAATATGGCAGTTATGTAGAAGACAGTTGCTTCACTGTCGTTGTTTAGTCGTTGTTGGTATTTTGGGAATGTTGTTACTCTCTAATTTAGTAGTCAGGTTGAACCATGCTCCCAAAAATTCGGCTTATTTACGTGTTGTTTTTTTTTTTTTCTATCACAGCTAGAGCAATGTGGAAATGCTGAATTTTTGTATCAGAAATGGAGGCTACAAAGCAATGGCCAGTCTGTCGCTACAGATCTTTTCTGCACCAACAGTAACTGTCAGATATTAATAGAATTTCTACCTTTCCAGTGTTACCAGCTCTCTGCGTCACGCGTGATTCAGCAGAATGCTGAACTGCTGCCCATCGTGTCACAGGGACAACCTTGAGTCACGAGGTGGAGTTGGAAGGCTGTGGGCCTCCCTTGGGTGAGAGCCAGCACCTGTCATAAGTGTTTGTTGGTGGAGTTTTGGCCAGCCATAGGCTACGTGCCAGGCTTGTTTAGTTTTGTGCATTTCCTATAAATGGGAAATGCAGGAGAGCTAATGCTAGTTCAAGTCAGTATTGGCCACTTCTCTTGCTCTGATTGTGCATCTTGTATCATGCTGGTCCATAGAAGACTGAGTTCTGCCTTTGGAGTAGCAGAAGTAACCAATCTAGAGACCGTGATCTTCCCAACTTGTGTAATGCCACAGTGAACATAGCTGCTGGTGCTCTGCAGAAGCTCCTCTCAATTTTTTCCTGATGCAGGAGCTTAAATCCTCTAAGGAACCCTTCAAACAAACATGATGTGATGAGGTCCTGCTCCAAATGCCACGTCAGTCATTACTTATCTCTTTTGTGTTAAATATGTTTCTTCTCTGCACAAACCACATTATTTTTGCCTGAGCTGACTGCCACTGTAAGTGGGAGTACACAGATAGGTAGGGGAGGTAAAAGAATGACTGTCTTAATACTGCCTTACATAGGTGTGCACAGCTAAAGGTAGAAGCTATTGTGAATTGCAGGTCTCAGTAGCATTCTGTTCTTTGGGGTGGTTGGTACTTTTTTTGATGCAGAATCAGACAGCTTTCTTGCAGTGCGGATGCATTGCTAATTTATAGACTGCAGTGGGCTTGTTGGAGGGGGAGGAACTGTCTCACCCAGCCTTATAGACCTAGAACCACTTAAGTGTCTCATAAAACATCTGATAACTCTTGTTAGTAAGTGACAAGAGTTAGGAGAGAGTCTGTTTTAAAAACCAAAATGGTTTTAGTTCCCAGGTTTCACAGCCTGGATTCTGTGACCCAGAAGAAATGCTGTCAGGCAGGGCCTGTGTCTCTGTGTCTGGTTAGCAGCTTTCTCACTACAGCAGAGATGCTCTTGTGCTTGCGGTGCCCTTCACCACCACACTAGAATGGGACACTGTGGGAAAGGACAATGGATCAGGCAGACAGTGCTTTGGTCACTGTAATTGCTTGCATTCTGCAGTTAGCAGAGCTTGGGCTTGAGGCTTTGGCTGCTGGACACCTGGTTATTTGTTAGCCCACAGCCTTCATCTCTGGGATGGGCTGTTCACAGAACACGTCCAGTTCCTTCCCAGTGCATAAATATGACAGATATCTGAGTCAGTAGGCTGACCCATACTTTTATAAGGGCAAGGGTTAAACTCCTAATTTCTTTACTTTGCCTATCATCTAGAAATTCTGACTTGTCTTGTACATTTTGTCTTCCATGTCAGTTTGATAGTACCATAAAAGCAGTGTGGATCTACTGCCCTGTGCTGTGGTACCGTTAGAAACCAGCAGAAGGAGCAGAGAAACAAAATTTGAGATTTAAGGATGCCAGCAGACACAAGAAGTGCTTCTGTGTGAGAAGTTTAAGCAGGACCCTCTCATAAATGAGAAGCTTGCTGTTGGGTTTAAGGAAGTACAGTGGTTGTGTCATTGCCTCTTCTATATATGAATTTGTTCACATGATCTTGACGTGTCAGTATCTGAATTCTATATGTATATACATACATCTGCTCTCACACTAAGTATAAAAGTGAGTATATAATTGCTCAACAGCTTTTAAAAAGTATATTAATCTATATAGATATATACCTAGTGTGTGCACATATAATACGTAGACATAAGTAAATGTGCACCTCTTAGTGAAGTTGGTGTCAGAAGTCGGAGGGTAATGTTAACTTACACTTTACCAATAAAAGTTCACAACATAGCATTTCTGGTCCCCTCAGTCTGGGCCCATTAGTTGCACATATAAGCCAACTGTTGTCCACATACCTGTGTCACAAAGGCATCTGATAGGAGAAAAATTGTTTTAAGTTAAAGCATCACAGAATTGCAAGCTGGAACACAATAATTCAGGTTAAAACACACGTTTTTTTTTTAAGTCAATGAATCAAGTCAGTAACTGAAAGTACCATCTGCATTGCTTATATTCTTTATAAGGGTAATTCGCAAGGATACATCACGAGTCAAGCTGTAGAAAATACTGGGTTGGGTTCTTTGGGCTGTGTTACAAAGAAGGTTGAGCTAAGTGACCATAATGTTTAAAACATTGGTTTTAAAGTTGATTAAAAAGACTTTTTTTGCATCGTTCTGTAACCATTGTGGTTGTGAGAATTGACTGAGAGTTCATGTTGTGCTCAGCAGGGATCGTGAGGTAAAGCAAAGCAGACCACAGGCCAAATGAAAGACAGTTGAGACTGAAAAAGCAACCAGATGGCTCATAAAGCCTGAAATCATGTGACAGATGATAAAAGGGAACATTTATAGCTTTTGAAGGAGATATGCTCCTGTTTGTATTACCTTAGGTTTATCAGTACCATTTTATTCCTGTAGTATATAGCAAGAAGTGATGTGATAGCTCCTACTGAGAAAACAAAACTTGCAGTGATGGGTTTGTGCTGCAACAGAAAAAAAAAATTATGACTTGAGTCCATTTGGTGACCCCAGCTCACTTGAGATGAGCATGATGGATGTCCAAAGGCATTTGCCAATCATTGCTTAAGTTGTTTATTATCTAAATATACTGTTGGACTCAATGTTAAAGCACGTAAGGTAACTTTGAAGTGTTAGCTCAAGAAATTGCACAGTTTGCAAGTTAAATTCATCTGCTTTTGCAAGTGAGTACAGAAAAGTCTATCAGTATTATCAGTAATATTCATATTAATGCTTTCAGACCTAGGTCCATCTTAAGCCAAGATTGCTAGTCATGTTTAGTTTGGTGAGGCTGTTCTTAAAAACAACCTTAGTTGCCAGTTATGTCAACCCTCCAATCTCCTTTGGATTTACTCCCACCTGAGTTTTGTATATGTTTATATAAAGGAAGGAAGATAAGAAAAAAATGTTCCTCTCTTGTTTTGAAATGTATTTCCAACGTGCTGATCTTATTGAGCAAGCAGCCAAGGAACTTTGTCTCATGCTTGTTTTTGCAATGGAAAATGGCTACGAGAAATCAGAGGGAAGAGAAGTATGGGCTATGTAGCTTGCAGGTAAGTAGATCTTATTCACTCTGCAAATTAGAAGAGGATATTCTAATGTTTTGGGCTCCAAACTCATGTTTCCCTTTGTGATATATTTATTTCTGTATGTGTATGTATTTGGTTTTGAAACTAAGGTGAAGAGTTAGGATAATTATAGCTAGTAGCTATAAAAGAGATACTTGTGTATGCAGAAGAGAATGAGCCGTTTCAGAAAGGGGAGGAAGTATGTAGTGGCATATCTAAAGTATGTAAGTTATGTAGAATGGATGAGCTTAATCTGGTTTTGAGAATGGAGGAGGTCAGAGAGGTAAGTATTTGATGTCGCTCATGAATTTGGAGATGACCACTGGTATCTGGGGATAAGGAGTTGTGAGGATGTGGCTTTTGGGCTGTGTTTGGTAACAGGAGCTACAATCACGGGGAGCAGGGTGTGAGGTGAGTCTGTGACTTACGAGTCAACTCTGTGTAGTTTGCATGTGAGTAAGTTCTGCCTGTAGAAAGAAATACAGTAGTATAGGAAAGACAATCTTTACAGTTTTTTCCTAATAGTGAAAAAATTGTAGGGACTTGACTGAAGATGTGCTTTCCTCTGGCAGAAAATTTGTGTGTACTGTAACCACTCAGGAAGTGATTTATGATAAATACACGCACGCTACATCCCATGTATTCATGGAGTGACCCACAACTGCCTCACTCAGGACAGATCAGATGAATTTATAAGTACAGCTGATGCAGGAGAACAGCAGAGTCCTGTATTTCCAGACCCCTGACTTTCCAGCAGTTTGAGAATGGCATTTGCTTTACCCACAGAGGTTACAACTTCAGGTAACTCAATAACATAGAGGTTTTACAAGTGGGTTAAATGTGCTCGCTCCTATGCAAAATCCCTATTTCAGGTGTCTTGTTCTTAAGAAGCATCCCTACATCTGGGTACAAACTTTCATTCATCCTTGTTGGAGTTCAGAATGAGTGTTTGCAAAGACTCCCCTTGAACTGGGACAGGCTGTAGGCTTCTATAAGAGAAGGAAATACCTATTATGTGGGGTGTAGTTGAAACTACTGTTGGCTTATTAGTAGAAAATTATGACTCAGGCTGGTTTCAGATGGTACCTCTCATGAGTTTTACTGTGGATTTAATTACACCTGTTTGGAGTTCATTCCAGGAGCAAAATACTGCTTTATGAGAATGCAAGTAGTTGATTTCATGTAAAAATAAGCAGTTTTGAAAGTTTGGTTGTTCTATTTTTCCCTCTTCAGTTTCTAAACAGTGCCTCTGATTGCTGAATATCACCTTTATTCCCATTCACACCAAAAGCTCGTGAGTCTACCCTGCCTTAGGTATAGCATGTGCATATCGGAAGATCCTAAGAATTCTGAGAAGTCATTCTGTGTTAGGTGAATGAGGGGGAAAAAGCATTCCCTTAAACATGATTTGCTTTTTCTTGCAGTTAAAAGCAGCTGAACCACAAAGTGCTGTAACTGAGCAGCAGTGGTTCCACTCAGGCTCCCTTGTTGCTCTCTCCTCAGTAGCTCAGTATTTGGATATGCTCATCTAACTGGAGCATGTCATGGGCCCAGCCTGCTTACCCAATTGCCTGATAATTGTTTACCTGCGTATTCCAGGTCACCTCTCTGCCATGCATAAAAGCATAGGAGACACTGTGCTGCTGGGATGTTGCACCCTCAGAACAATTTGCCCAGAGCTTTTTGTGGGAATGTCAATATGTTTAAATGGGGCAGGTATTGAATGGCCCAGTGCACGTGGCTATATTGAATGCTACTCTAGCAGCAGCACCATCTCACAAACTAACGCAGCAGTAGCAGCAAGGAATGAAAAGCTGCAGACATCAGGTGGGAGCTTGTAATGAATCCAACTGGGCACCCACACTAACCTCTCACCTTGAGCTGCTTGAAAGCTGACCCTGTGAACATGAAACTGTTCCTGTTAATGGCTGAATAAAAACATACACTCTACTTGTCCAACCCTAAACCATTTTTAAGAGGAACTGTTGTCAAACAAAACAGGGATAACCAATAGATGAATCATGGGCGTGGAGTGGTCAGGGGAAGGATCTGTAAGAAAATTAGGAGTTGTGTTCCTCATCTCAAAGGTAGAAAAGGGAGAGTAGGAGTGACTTTTCTACAGTCTTTCAGTCAGCCAAGATGTGCACCTGGCTGTGACAGGCGCAAACTCCAGCCCTTCCTCAGCTTGGCTTGAAGAAACCAGCCAGTATGGACCAGGAATTCTCTCCTTACAAAAAATTATTTCTTGCTGCCTCCCTGTGGCAAGAGCTGTTCTGAGATTGAGGTTCTTCGTTTCCTTTTTCCTTATAGATAATATACACAGGGAGCAAATAAACAAAAAGTTTTCCCACAGTACTAATGGGGAGAAAACTAGTGAGAGTGCCCTTGCTAGAACTGATAATTCGTCACAGATAAACATTGTAAAGCCAGTTGTGTGGGAGGGAGATGGCAAGAAAGAGTGTGTGGGATTTGGGGGCAAAGGGGACAAAACAGTTTTTTGGAAAATGTTTTGAATATAATGGAAACTCACTGCCCTGCCATGAAATACAAACACTGTGTGTTGTCAAGCAGCCGGAGCAGAGGGAGAATGATGCTGGGCCTCAGCTAGCAGAAACAAAACATAATACAAACAGGCTGTGGAGCCAGGTTTGTGGTAGCATGGGGACTATAAATCCTGAGACTAGCTGAACAGAATAGCTCTCAGTCATACCATCAGCTGAACTGCTACTACAGATCAGGTTAGTGCCAGCCCTGCTCTTAATTAAAGTAGAACTTAGATGCCAGTCTATCAGCTGTTGTGTGTTTCTGCTTCTTCCTCCCAAAGTATTTGAAGAAGGAATTGCGAGCCTCAGGAATTTCAAAAAGTAATCCAAAGCAGAAGAGACAAAAATGCAGTACTGTTAACAGCATATCTAAAAAGGAGGTTTTGAGTAAAGGGAATCTGTCTGCGTTCACCTTGAACTAGGAGGATTCGTGTATGTGTTGTTACTGCTCCAGTGCAGTAATGATGGAGTTGCAGGGAGCTGGCTGCAGCACATGTCAGCTTCTGGAAATACACTGATCGTGTATTTCCTTGCTCCCATGAGTACAGTAAGATCTCTAAGAAAGCAATGTGCCTCTAGGACAGATTCAATAGCACAGAACTAGAGATTCTCCTCTGAAGCAGACACAAACCTGTGACGCCTTCATATAAAGCCCATAAAGAAGCAATTCTTTATCTCCCCCGCCTGCCCCCATGCAAAGTTGTAGACCATGCTGTAGTTTCTGCTTTTCATGCTTGGAGTCACTCACCAAAGAGCTCGTGTTCCTGCAGGACTCCAGCAAACACTAGCACCCAAATGAACAGCATGGTCCCACGCTCCCTGTAGTCCTGTGCAGTGCACGGCAGGCTCCCTCCCAGGCTGTGCATAGACTGCTCTGTCTGTCCGTCCAGCAGTGCTGAGGTTTAGCCAGAGCTAGGAGGAAATATGCCCAGGCTGAGCCAAGATTCTGGAGCTATGCTTTTTTTTTTTTTTTTTTTTTTTTTTTTCTCTTTCCTCCCTTTAAAAAACACCCTTCCAGCTCCACAAAAAGTCCAGTTATCCAGGCAGGCTGGCAGAGCTCCAAGCTCCCCAAAGTTTTTACCCTGTATTTATTTATGCAGCCTACAACTGGAATGTGCTGGAAAACTCCGATTGCTCTAAGTACAGCAAGGGGAGCAAGAAAAGGAGGAGAGAGGAGAGGGGTGCGGGATGTTTCTTTCCCTGTAGGATTATGTCTAGGGTGTGGAAAGCAGGAACAGTGGAAAACACGGTATCATTAGAGTTGTGCAAAAACAGGGTTCTCATGTTATTTGTTTTTAAGACTGCAGAAAAATGTCTTCTGGGAGGGCAGAAATTCTGCTGGACTGAGTGCAGCAGCCTTGTGTTGGTGGTGCCTTGCCTTTGGAAAGCAACAAAGGCTCCTCAGAGCTCTTCCCAGTTCGAAAGGTGTTTGAAATAAGTTAGATGTGATAACACCATGCGTAAAAATAGCTCTGCTAATGGCATTCTGACTGCGTGCTTGAGTTAAATACTTATCTTGAGAGCTGATGGGTGTCAATTGGGTACGTGTCCATGTAGAACATGAGGAGGTAGGCCTCCAGCCCTGAGCCTGCTGCAGGTTCCTGGCACAACCTTTGTCATGTTCCTTCCAGCTTGCAGGTCTTTCGTTTCCTACCTTTGAAGGAAAATTAATAATCCTTTTACCCAGCTCAAGAAATAACAATAAAAAAAATGTTTGCTAAGCATTTTGTGTTGCCTGAGTTTTAAAAAAAAAAAAAAAATCATACAAATTCTTGCGTTTTTATCAAGGAGTAGTTATTACAGAGCGAGTTAGGAATGCATTGCAATGCTCTTGTACAACTAAGGCTGTATGAAGGCTATGACTGCTGAAATGAGAGGTTGTCTGTGCTGAGGCTACGGGGGAAGTGGAAGCAAAGCCAACAGACTGAGGACATGTGAGTGTTGCGCCGGTAAGTTCTTTACAACCAGGATGTTGACCTGCAGGAGTGAGAGCCCTGTACTGCTTAGGAGAGAGAATTCTCAGGAGCAGGATAAGACTTAAGAATAGTTGGTTTCTTTTTCTTGAGTATGCTTGTCCTGGACCTTTATCCTTACACAAAGTGCCTTTCTCAAGCAGAATCTCCCTCGTGTTCTCTTTCTAAGGGAGCCAGTTGGTGGATGCTTTTTTGCATGTTTTCTGCTGTACTCTACAATATACTATTAAAAAGCAATGAACATTCATTGCATTGCTTTTTTCCTCTACACCAGAAAAGCTATAAAAATATATTAAAACTGCTGCTGTGGACCACCACTGGGGAGGTCACTCAGCCCCTTAGTGCACGTTTCCTGGAGATTCTGAATGTCTTCATCTCAGATTCATGAAACTGCTGCATTCTCTCAAGGCAATTCCTTCTTACTTATCGAACAGTGTTACGTTTGACTATAGTGAGATCTGATACCCACAGAGAAGTAAACAAAACAGTGAAGTTTTTCTCTAGTTTGGTACTCCGGAGGTTGTTTCTATAGGTAGAGAAGTTCATTCTGCATGAGGGAAATACAGCCAAAAAAAATCACCTAGGCCAAGTAAGATTTTGGTTTTCAGTAGGGCTACTTGTCTAAAGCATTTTGGTAATCTTGGATGACTACCTAAGTTGATTACTGTTGCTGGTAAGCGCTCAGAATGAAGTTGGAAATGAACAAGTCTTTATCATCGTTGTAAATTATAACATATTTGAGATGCATGTCAGAAATCATTAAACTGCAAAGTAGATTGTTCAGTGCAAGGCAGAAGATCTGGGTGTAGTGGAGAGTATGTGATATGTATGAACCTATTTGTCTTCTGGAAAGTTATTCAGTCACTGATTACCATCAGAGAAAGCATTCTCCAGCACATTCATCTTGGAAATGTCCATATATGAGAATATAATGAGATCATATGAATATAGGTTTGCACAAAATCCAGCTGTTGAGATGTTCCCAAGACACCAGCAGCCAAAGAAAGCATACCAGTGAACAGGGATGGGAATTTCTGCCAGCAGGCAATCTGGCGAAAGGGAGAGCAAACACAAGGTTTGAGTCTATTTTGGGAGTGTTGGAGTTTTTTGTGTTATTTTGCTCTTTTTGTTTTCTTACAGCCTTTCTGTATCGCTTTCTTGGATGAACCAAAGGCTTGGCAAAGCAAGAGAGTAGGTCATAGAGATACAACTGAGTGCATAGAGAGGAGGAACAGAATAAACAAAGGCCATGTGTCAGCAGAGGATGTGTGTGCCATGAGAAGGAAGATAATATCATTCTTGGGCATGAAATCCTGCAGCATGGACTGGTGGAGGAGTATGGCTGAACATAAACTTGACAAAGGTTGAATTGCAGTCCCTCATGACTGTAAATGAAACAGAGAGAAAATTATTTCTAGGAGATTATTTCTAGGAACAAAAATACAGTCAAAGACCCATTTGTGTAGGGAAAGGAAAGAGCCTTAAATGCAGAGAAGAAAATGGAAGAGAATGATCTCTATCCCGGATTTAGCATAGAGGGACAATGAAATACTGTGGATGTTCCCTTGGGAGAAGGTGTTTGCCCACCAGAGTCTGGAGATTCCCCATGTGTTTATCTATTAGCTGCCAGCTGCTTGTGACCTGAAGTTTTCAGGCCGCACCTGGAGGCTGCTGAATCCTTTATGTAAAATGAGGCTTGGCTCATGATTCTTCTAGAGAAGGTGAATTATTTTCACCTTCTTAATTAACTCAGTTCTTGACTGCTGAGTTAAAGCAATAATTGAATGTGTGTGGAAGCAGAGCTTATTGCCTGGAGAGATTGATTTCCAACGAAGAGGTATGCAGTTGTCAGCTGCTTCCAGCGGAAGCAGGCATTAGCTTTGCAATGAGTGTATCATTTGATGAGCAAATGGAAGGTATCTTGGCATGGTGATATCACCAGAATGAAACAGACATGGCCGCTTACAGCTTTCAATTGTGGTAACTCAGCGCCGCATCCGGTAGAATGCCCTGAGCCTCCTCATCTCTGTTGCTCATGGGAGCAGCCTCTGTTGGTGCTGCAGGTCTTGTGGGCTGCTGCCTTCTCTCCCAGCGCAGTCTCTCTTCAATCTGTTAGATAACAACTTGAATTAGTGGTTACTACCTTCAAGGAACATCAAAGAGTGCAATGTTCTCTTGTCATTGTCATAAAGGCACAGACTTAGGTTCCATTTAAAAACAAACAAACTAACAAACAAAAAAAACCGTGCAGTATTACGAGGTGCTGATGAGATCAGCTCCAGTTGTACCCTTGGAGAAGGTTAACAAACGTGTGTCATGGAATAGAGCACTCTGGTCCAGCCTTCTCCAAAACAATACATTTTGTACTGTGCCTAAGGCCAGCAGTGAGTCAGCTTCTCTCTTGAGGCAGTTCCCTTGTGTCATCTTGTTGCCAGCATGCTAAGCTGGGTTCTCTTTGCCAGCATTAGGTAAGCAGCTGATGGGTTTAGGCTGTCATGCATCTGTGACTTCAGCTTCCTGAGCAATCATCCACGAGAAATTTGAATCACAAGACTGGAGGTGGGTTGCATGGGGTGTTGGTGAGTGGTGTCTTACTGTACGTTTTGTGTTTTTAACCAGCTGTTTGATCCCTTCATTTCACAGATCTCACAGATGTTAATAAGCCCAACTGTGCTGCAGGAGCACCTATGGAACAAGCTATGTAACATGCCTGCTCTTTCTAGAGAAAATACAACTTCATCCTGACCAAGCTGATTTAGCTGTATACTCAGCTAAATTAGTGAATCTGAAATGGACCCTTGACTCCTAACTTTATGTCGCACATATGGGGCTCTGGTAATGCACACTGCTTTTTTTTTATTATAGAAAACTGCATCCTTTTGCTTGCATCCACCCATTTGAGTCACACTAAAAAAATGTGAAATAACTCCCTGAGTCCACAGCAAATAACACTCTAGAAAATAACACTGATGGGGGAAGTACTTGATTGTTCTCAAATTGGAATGACTTAGCTAGTGACTTTAGCAGGCCAGTGTTGCACACCACACTAATTAAAGGAAATAATGGCTTGAAACTGAACCAACATTTTCACTCTGTGAAGGAGCAATTAATATCTTAGAAGCTTTTCATCTGTTGACTAGCACCTTGCTGAGCACAGGTCATGAGAAACAGCAGTGAAACAGAAGTCTGCGTTACTTAATGTCTGCATACCTTTCTCCATTAGAGAGCTCATCTGCAGTACCTGTGAAGCCCTTGAATAGAGGCAGTATTTACCATATGAGCTAGCTGTGAGGTACAGATGTTTAATGAAACAGAAACAGCTGGGAATAAATCCGTTTCCGATCAACGGTCAGCCTGTTCTCGTTTCTGCCTTAATTACTGGAAGATCATGGATAGATTCTAAAGAAAGTATGATTTGCCAGAGAGAGGTCAAGCTAATCTCTTTACTGTTACTCCCCTGGAGATTTATAGTACGTGTATTACTTTGCTGCTGATGTAGTAAAAATCCCAAGTTAAGGGTCCTTTTGAAATGAATGTGGGTTAGGAAATAGGATACCGTAGCAGGATGCTAGTAGACCTTGTCCCATCTTTAATTGTGATTTTTCTTCAGGCATGCTTCCGACACTTTCTCCAAGGCAGAGAATGAGTAAGAAAATGGTATGATTTTTTTTCTGTCTTGCTGTCTGGTGGATTCTGTTCAGCATTTGTACAGTGAGCTATTACTGCATGGAGCCAGCATCTTGCCTCTTTAATTCCAGCTGCTAAGCATCGTTAGGAGACAATGTGAATACTTACATAATGTTGCTATTATCACGAGAATTTGTTGCCAGAGGGAAACTTTGTAATCATGAACAGTAAGAGAGGTGCCCACAAAACAATTTCTGTTAAATGCTCATCCAGGGAATGAAAAACCTTGTGAGACTATGGACAAATAGATTAACAAGATTAGCGTTCACCGCAAGC